AAAGCTTATAGAAAACCTTTTTTTGCATGTGTCTTCAATATTCTAAAGTACACTCAGAATGAACGCAAATTTTGTAGCTGGAGCGATGGATCTCCATGTTACCCCTATGTAGAGGGCGGCTCTGGAGCGCTGCAAATAGCAACAAGGTAATTTGGTTTTATTAGGGTGGCGCAGGATCAGGCCTTAAGAAAACACTTTCAGTAGACTTTATTTATCGACAGCATAAATTAGTAGGTGCAATTACTGTGTCAGACTTTTGAAATGGTGGGCTTACTGAGTTACTAAACAAGACCACTTCAGTGGAAGAAATGGTCTGCCTCTTCTTGATTTTACAGAGCAAATTACAAATTATATATCTAAAATAAATCGTTTTTCTTAACTATATGCTCTGCAATAAAAATCGAAAACTCAAATAGTTGAAATGGGCCTTTTTAAAATCTGTTTCTCATTGTTTAAACTAATCAGAGTTTTTGTGATTGCATTTATAGCACTAAGAAATCATATCCATAATTTTCTTAGAGGATTATTAGGAATCTGAAATGAAGCAAACAGATGCAAGAAAGCCACTGACTCTGAAACATTAAATGTTGGCTAATACAATTTCCAATATGAGTATTTTCCCCCTGGGCAGCAGGCAGTGAACATATCTGAGATCCAAGCTTGATGCATGGATACGAGCAATGATGATCTAGCCTCTGTTAATTCTGCCACCCCACAAAATGTCAGATGAATAAAGCCGTACAACTTTGCCTGAGTGTGTGGGTTTGTGTGAGTTTGTGTTGATTGGGTTAATAAATTGGCTTACAGGCTGTAGTGCAAGAATGACACACAGTTGTGTGGTGCAAAGAAATTCTTTCTGTCCTCGATTCTCCATCTGAGCTGCCTGTTTGGAAAAGTGTCTGAATGACATCTTGTCCTCTCTGCTGGCGATGAAGCTTCAAACTCCATGTTTACCTTTCCTGTTGGATGTCCTCTCAGCCTAATCTGTAGGAACTCAAACTAATTGGAGGAGTGGAAAATCATTTCTTTAGATCATTGGGTTGATTATTTCTTTATGGTGTTTAGATACAAGATGCATTTTCTGGTTTTGTTAAATGAGCAAACACTGTTAGGCTTTCTAGAGTACTTTTTATTTATCTGTGTTTCCTTTTACATCGTTTACTTTTCTTTTCTAGTCAAATTATTTTATCTGCGACATAATACTGTCACAAAAAAACATCCTAATAGGTCTGTCTTTGCTCTGATTTAATGTTCTCATTACAAACCAGCTGAGTAAATATATTAACCTGAAATACAAGGAGGCTTTTTTTGTAGCTAAAAATGTAATAAAATTTCCTCAGATAAGAAAACATCAGATCATGTTAAAAAAAATAAAAAGGTTTAATATTGTCTCTTCTTTTGACTGTGGATGTCCTCATTAGCTTTCTGCCCGTGTGTCCAGTGCAAGCTGCCGTGATAGAGATGCTCACTGCCACTGGTTTTCTTTTGCCATGCTTTGAGTTTTTACTTTTAAACATATGGCTTTCTTGTTGTATTCATATTGAGCTGTTCCATGAGGACCGATGGATCCTACAGTAGAATCGATTTCTGTTTTTACAATGTTTTTATCTTGCTGTGAAGGACTTTGGTCTTTCAGGTGTTGTTATAAAGTGCTATTCAGATAATTGATTGATTGATTGGTTGATTGATTGATTGATTGATTGATTGATTGATTGATTGATTGATCGATTGAACATATAAAAAAAACTAGATGTTCATTGTAGATGGGGCTCCTCTCAAAGTGAAGCTATTTTAAAGAATATTCTCATAGAATTTTCAGTGAGATGATTTATTTCAAAAGTTAGGTGATTGTGAACATCTGCGAGTTTGTGCCGGTACTATATATAAATAAGGCAATAAATTCTTTCCGTTTTGACAAAGTTTTATAACCTTTAGATAAGAAAAAGTCCTCATTACATTGTTGATAGCCTGGAATTAATGCAGTCAAATTATTTCTTGTTGATGTGCATCACTGATGGTGTAGCCGCTGTCATGTGTTGGTAGAGTATCTTTCAGAAGCAGACAAAATCTACATATTGGTTTCCTTGACTTCGCCATCATCCAGCTTTTCAGCTTTTCCATATCCCCATTTGTCCTTTCTGTCCCTGCAACACAAGACAACAGAGAACTGGTTGGCTGTTTGCTTGCATTATTTCATCTGCATGTTTATTGGCATCAAAATACACATAACAATGATTAATGCATTTAAGAATTGAAAAATTATGTGGGAAATCTCTTTATCAATTCCTTTTATGAAACTTAGAAATCAACTTAACTGAATAACCAGCAAGTTAATATTTTGTAGTACTGTTCAATACATTTTCAATCATAAGCAGGAGCAGACGAATACACTGGAGTTGTAATGTTAATGTTTAACACACTCATATATACTTCCTGTTAATCAAATGGCTTATTTTTATGTTGTGCAGCTATAAAAGTTGATTATGCTATGCAAGATACCAAAATAAGACATTAAACAACTACTAAACTCCAACAAAGAACTCTGACTAATTAGTTAAAATTGAAATTTCTATTCAAAAATCATCTAATAGCATAAAACCAACAAATAGGAAAGAATGACAGAATTATGCTTTTTCAGAGAATATTTAAAC